ACCACTTCCTGGGTAAAGTCACTTAAACCTATTTCCTTATTTGTAAAATGGGGATAATCATTCTTGTAGTATCTACCTTACAGGGGTGTTGGGAAAAAAAAATGAGACATTTATAAGTTTTGCAACCATAAAGCACTACATATGTGTCATTACAACCCCTCCATCATAAACATGACTTAACCCTGAACTCATTCCTCCTTATTTAAAAAAGAAAAAGCAGGCTGACGGTGACCAAGGTGAGCAGTTATAGAAATAAACCGCTCCCCATTCCCAGGTCTAAAATGATGCATCAGAATCCCTGCCTTAGGAAACATCACCAAGTTAGTCATATGGCAAGAATTATAAATAACAGATGGAAAGAAAAGAAAAAAACACCTATGTGCCAAGCACTGTGCTAAGCACCTTACAAATATTACCCCATTTGAACCCAACAACTCTGGAAAGTACGTACTATTATCATCATCCCCATTTTATAAATGAGGAAACTGAGGCAAACAGAGGTCAAGTGACTCACCAAGGTTCATATAATCAGCATCAGAGGGCAGATTTGAACTATCTACTGTACTTAGCTCCTGGTGTCTCCCATGTCCAGTGAACGTTTGCTCATTTTCATCACCACTTTTTCACCTGCTGCTTCATTCTAACAGTTGTAGTTCCAAGGGATCTGGGGCCATGGTACTTCAAATACAGTGTGCTTTTTAAATTATTATTTTTATTAATATACCCTTAGTAGTTACATACCTCCTTGAGACCATTTCCTAATATATCTGTAAAATGGAATACCATGCCAGGTTGCTCCCAAGTGGGCCTTGGAGGTAGGGAGTCTTTGCCTCAGATACTACGCAACCCTAAGCAATTCAATGTATCTCTATTTGCCTCAATTTTGTTGTGAGGATTAAACAAGATATTTGTAAAGTGCTTAGCACAGGGCCTGGGCACATAGTAGGCACTACATAAAGTTAGTTATTAGGAAAATCACTTAGTAAACCCACAAAGCACTATGTAAATGTGGGCTATCTTTATAACTTTTCTCAAAACACTACCTTTCAAGACCCAGCTCAAACCACCAGACCCAACCAAGTTCTTCCCTCGTTACCCTTTCCAATAATCTCTTTTCTCCTCAGAACTGGGATTGAAAGGGCTATCATGTTTTTCTGTACCTTTAATTTGTCTCTTATTACATATGGCCTCATATCATATTCTCTTCCCCTGCATTTCTGCTTTCTCTCCCTAACTAGGATTGTAAACCTCTTGAGGGCAAAAACCATACTTTAGTCAAACATATTAGCAGAGATGTTAGTCAATAAAGCCTTTTTGACAAATAGCCCCTGGCTCCCCAGGGAGATTACCTAGATAGTGGACTTGGCTCCTGGGTCATTATCATGGCGGAAAGAATCTGAAACTGACTGAAAATACTTTACTGTCTTAACACAGCATGATGCAGGAGAAAGAATGCTGGAATTAAATCTCTACTGCATTACTCACTACCCATGTAACTTATAGGCAGGTCATTCACTTCTCTGGGTTATCAGTGTCTTCATCTTAAGTGGAATGAGTTAATATGAGTTAATAGAGGGGGAAAAAAGCATTGGACTAAGACGTCCTTAGTTCAAATCACAGTTCTTTCACTTAGCAGAATGTGACCATGAGCAAGTCACTTCTTGGCCTCTTCTACAAAATCAGGAGGCTGGATTAGATTAACCTCTTGGTAGCTTCCAGTGCCAGATCTATGGTCCCATGACCTCTAAATCTATGTTCCTATGATCCTAACACACCCAGAACATTTTAATAGAAGTTAATGTCTTAGCTCAAAGTAATAAATCTCTAATGACAGAATTAGAGTAAGCAGTAGGCCTGAGTCCCATCCTGGCAATGACTCCAATAAAGAGTTTTAGAGCAGAATACTGATAGGATTTTACTTAGTTAAGTCACTACTTGTGCATTTCAAGGTAAATAATTTAATCTTTCTGGTCTTCAGTTTGCTCAGCTGCTTTAAGGGAGTTTGGACAAGTTCTTCCAGGTACATATTCTATGAGTCTATTTGGACTTCAAACAATGGACATTATAACATATCATTTGATGTGCTACTGCCCCTGGCAGTGGTGTCCCCAAACAACTTCAGACATCTTTTCGTCTAGCCGCTCTTACATAAAAGGTGGAGAAACACAGGCAAGATGTAACTTAAGGCCACATAGGTGGCAAATAGAGCCAGGATTTGAACCTCAATCTTCTGACTCCATTAGCCTTTCTACTACACTACAATTCATCTTCAAAGAACTAAAGACTCACAATACAAAGGATTGGGAGAGGAATACAAGGCCTGTTTTAAAAACTGAAATCATTGAAAAAATGCTGGTTACTGGTAACTCAAAATTAGGAGAAACTGGAACAAATTAATGTTGCCCTCAATGTTAAGAGCATTATGGTCATATCAGCGTCTATCCCCTTTACCTTCTACTTCCTTGCCTCAATGATCATCTTTATAAATGATCAATCTCCTCACACGCAGGAAGGCAAGTCCCACTGGCAGAAAAAATTGGGGGGGGGGAGTAGAGAGGAGAAGGCGGAGAGGGTAATTCTCAGCCTACACAACAGTCCCAGCTGAGATATCAACCATGGGTTAAAAAAGTAAATTCACAAGCTGCCTCGTCACTTCCAATGACTCTAAAAGTTGATAGCTCATCATTAGTCAGCTAGACTTCTTAATCTCCAAGGGAGGTGCAGAGAGGTCAGGGAGAAGCAATGCAAAGTCTTACAACACTCCTCTCATAAAGGGAACACATTCAACCATGTTGAAACTTCCTAAAATTATTTTAATATGACCTCAAAACAGAGCAGCCTAATAGTATCCTAATAGTGAAGGGCTAAATGGCCAGGTATCTCTAGCATCTCAAGAATCAGAAACAGAATAAAGTAAGACTAAAAAGCCATTAAGATGCTCATTTGGAAAGCCCATATTACTGGCCTACCTCTGGGGAGGAACAACTCCAAGCAGCTTTTCTACCAATGTCTAGCAATGCCTAGTAAATGGCTGGTGCCAGTTCAATGCTGTGCAGTGCATTATTGGTGTTACTGGCCCTTCATTTACAGGTACCTATACCAGTGATGCAACCATATATACCAGAAGCTGGGAGGATCCATCTCAATGATTAGATAAATTCATGTAGGATCACAGGATTTAAAGCTGGAAGGGATCTTAGTCCTATCCCCTTATTTAATAAATGAAGACACTAAGAATCATATTCAAAGTCAACAGTAGTACTTTGCAGCACCCGAGTTCTAGGGTCCTCTAACTCCACACAACTTTGCCTTTCCTCTAAGGTTCCTTCCAGCTGTTCCCGTGAACCCTTAGAAGAGCAAACCAGTACAGTGGAAGCAAGATTGAAAATTAACCTTAAGATGGGCCTGGCAAAGGGCTAGACATAGTACTACAATTAGGTGATAGGAAAATACAAGTCTAATATGAAGAAAAGTCATGGAAAGACCCAGAAAAGGGAAAGTGACCATGTTGAGAAAATGTCAAGGTTTCTGAGAAACTTGAATAAAGTTAACTTTTTTTCTCTCACATCTCCATATCTCTCATTATATTAAGCATAATTTTACAAGCGACAATTGTACAGAACACATTTTTATGTTCTTGAACTAGAAGTTCCCAATCAAGTAGTTAAGTGATATCTTCTAGATCAGGTTTTACCTGAGAGCTTCCAAAATGTTTGGTGGTTGTGTCCACACATCACTCTCCAGTTTGCTTCAATTTTCCGCCCAACCTTCCACGATGTTTAAGATTTGTAAAGAGCTTAACCTATCTGATCCTCACAACTCTGTGAGGCGGGTATAGTACCTTCATTTTACAGATAAGGATATTGAGGCTAAGAGTGATTTGTCCAAAGGTCTCCCAAGTAGTAAACATGAGGCAGGATTTGAACAGAGGTATTCCTGATTCAAAATCCAGCATTGTATGCATGATACTTACCTATCTCTATACAGGGACTGGACCAATAGCCCCTTCCCCACATCCACCAAGGAATCACACAATAATCTATGATTCTCTCCAACACTTCACTCACAAAACAATTCTCCAAACTCTCTCAGGGACTTCAAAGAATTCTACCTTACAGGTTGAGGAGGAGCCCTAGCCTAAATTAGCGAAGTGACTTTAAGTACATACAAAAAGAGAAGCAGAATATTCCAAGTCCTTTCATCTTACACCAAATGACCCATCCCAACCCTGAAAAGATTTCCTTCTTAAAGCCCTTCTCTTTCCCTGGTTATCTGCCTCTGGGAAGTCTCTAGCTTTATCAATAAATGTTCAAGGCCTCAGTTTTCTCATCTATAAAAAAAAAATGGGGGGCAGCTAGGTGGAGCAGTGGATAGAGTACCAGCCCGGATTCAGGAGGATCTGAGTTCAAATCCGGCCTCAGACACATAACACTTACTAGCTGTGTGACCCTGGGCAAGTCACTTAACCCCACTGCCCAACTTAAAAAAAATAAAAATAAAAATAAATTTAAAAAAGACAAGAAAAAAATAAATAAATGGGACTAGATGATGGGGGTCACCTGAGTTTTTGCATCTATGATTCTAATACCACCTTACCCAAAATAAAAATTATTACTAAGCAGTAATGCTCTCCCACCAGAAGTTGGTACTTTTCCAGTCTAATAAAACAGGCTGTCATTGTAGCATCTGTACTAACAATTCATCCCATGCAGATGGAGAATTCAGAAGATAAAATTTCTTAGAGTCAATATAAATGTCAATAATTTATCACAAAACAAGTTACATGCAATTGGTCAGTGTTCATTAGTAAAGAACTTTTCTAACAGGTGAAAAAAACACATGAACTGATAATCCCTTATAAATATATTAACACTTTCAAAATTCAAAGTCTCACTTCAGGTTTCAAAAACGTTATGGAATAAGCTTTATCATGCTTAAAACTACCACTAAAAGTGCTGTAAATCAGTTAAGTTGTGAGAAACCAATAGTTCAGGTTCTAGTTCATTTTCCAAATTAACCACATTTATTAAGTTACAGTACTGTGCATTTACTAATTTATTACAACAAACTCTCACAAAGGATAGAGTCCTAAAAAAGTGCAACTTTAAACAATGCCTCCAATTACAGATGTTTTCCAATTAGCAGGCATACATTTAGCATATAAGGAAACACTAAAAGTATTAAAGAAAGGGACACAGAAGGGGTTCTAAGGCTGACCCCTACCAGACCAGAGAAAGTTTTTCTTTGGATAACGCCCCACCATCACCACTCCAACCCACCTCCAATTTACCTGTTCATCCTGTTCCAGAAAGCACAGTGACAAAGATATGTGGAATATCATAGAAACACAGATTTACTGCTAGAAGGGAATTTCATAGGCTAATCCACCCATGTCATTTTACAAATGAAGAAACTGAGGCCCAGGGATGTTGGGTAAACTTGTACAAAAGCTGGTAAGTATTAAGCATCAGGCAGATTGCAAACCCAGGTCCTCTGACTCCAAAGCCAGTGTTCTTTCCTCTGTATTATGTCCTAAGTCAGCAAGGGGCATTAAAACACTGGTTTCCCTCACAGACCAACAACTTGGATTAACAAAAGCAGTATGATATAGAAAGCATTAGACCAGACCAATACAAAGGAAACATTAGTTCTAGTGTCTTGGCTTTGGAGTCTTGGCTGTGTCATCGAATTACTGTTAGCTTTAGCCAATGGAGTTACTTCTGAAAAGGAGGAAATTGTACAAGATAACCTCCCTTCTTGCTTTAACAAATTTATCTTTTAAGGCAAATACCCCCTTCACAGCCAAGTGGTAAATGATACCTTGCTATGAATTAATCTTGTCTAAAACCCAAATAAAATGTATGAGTAGAAATTTTCATACTAAGTTTTAATAGGATGAAAAAGAGTTAATTTTATGAAGGGGTGGTAGAGGAAGAGAAGCAGAACATAAGGTAAGGACAAATCTAAGCAGAATGTTCTTGGGGAGTGGGTACAGGAGAGAGGGAAGCACCAAAAGTAGAAGACAAAGCCAAACTCTGCCTTTCTACACCCAAGATTTTGTCCAAGACCCTGTCATACTATACCCTCAAAAATGTGAAGCATGCAAAGTTACATGTTATCAAGTGCGCATAAATTGATTTGATATCACAACTGGGATCCAATTGTATATTACCTAGTACTATATATGTCCCTCAAATTGTGAAAATTTAAAAAAAAAAACACACTAGGGCAATGGTGTCAAACTCATATGGAAAGTTTCCTGCAAGTGGCATATAATATGGCTTAGAAAACCACAAATTAACATTATGTTGTATTTTATCTTTATTTCATTAAACATATCTCAATTACATTTTAATCTGGTTCAGACTGCATTCATTTAACATCTCTGCACTAGGGGAGCTTGTTATTGAAAGGAAATCTATTTCCTTTAAATCTAGCAAAATAATTCATCATCCCTACCACTGCCAAAAAGTTAGGGGAATTTCCATAGACTATAAGAAACTGCCATTGGATCTGGGAGGAGTAGCAACAGAAATGAGAACAAGTTGCAAGTGCCGGATGTAACTGGTTAGGTAAGGAACCCATCCTGAAACAGCATTAGCAAAGGAAAAAAGACCAGGAAATCAGAAAATCTCAACTCTAGTGCTATCTGCCAATAAGGAGCTATGTGACCTTGGGCAAATTATTACTATCCCCACAAAAAAGCCAACGAAAAGTGATAACCTGTTAATCTCAAATCTAACTATTTTAAAAAGATTGTATTAAATACCAAACGTCAACTACCTGTTAATACAATTTCCCAAACTTAATGCTGCTGTTTAGATACCAAATGGCATTTTCACTTTCAATACATAGTGATGTTCAATAATTTTTAATCCTCAGGACAGGCTTTGCCTATTTCTCCTTTTACAGTGACCCCTCAACTCTGTTAAGTATCAAACCTCCAACCACTTCTTCTTTCCTCTCATTTTCTAAAGTATTTTTTCCCAAAAAAAATCTAAGTCACTTCATGGCATGTTCACTTTTAACACATTATGAAGTTCATTAAATCCTCAAATTAAATCTTACCTATCTCTTTTTCTTCTCCCAAGAAAATAGCACCTCAAAAATTCCATAGCTCTTTGGCCTTTAGATATTCAAAATTACACACCTTGAATCTACAAATCTAGGCATAAAAATCAGCAAGAACTTCAATCAATGAATTCTATTAGCCCGGCAAAACTTAACAGGTTTCCTTTAGAAATTAACTTCATTTACTTATATTAATCAGTGATCCAGGTATGATGGCCCGAAACAAAACTACAGACAAGCCCCAGTGGGTTTTTTTTTTATATTTATTAGGATTATGATTTAAGGTGTATACTACTCCAGTTGGGTAAACCACATTTAAGAATTTAACTGCAGGACTTTAGATTCAGCCAAATGAGTTTTCCATTAATATTGTTTTATGTTTTAGACATTATGATTTTTAAGTTTTTAATACTTTAGCCAAGCTCAGGTCACTGCAGCATAAGATGTATCGAACCCACTCATGCCAAGTTAAGTCTGCCTACATGGAAACAGAACCGATTAGCTGTGGAGGTTAAAGGATCAAAGGATCAAGCAAGGTTAAGAAGAAGTTCTGGTTTCCCAAACTGTACTATGTTTTAAGTTCAATGTACACTGTTCTTAAAAGACCAAAAATGTCTTCTAAGAGCTATTTTTCCAAAAACAAAACAAAACAAACAAAAAAAACCACAAAATATCACACACAAAGGCAATCTTCCATGATTCATTTTCTAACTGGCACAAGAAAGGCTTCAAAATCCTAAGTGCTGGACCTATTTTTCCTCTTAAGAAATCATTCCTCATTCTGCTCATGGGAAACACATGCATCTTCAAGGTTAATTTTGTAAAGGGGTGGCAAACATAAGGACTGGGGCATGGGAGTAGGAAAAGGGAAAGGAAGTACTTTATGTGACAAGTAGCATTAAGATTAAATGAAATTGAAAAAAAGTAGCCAATATTAAAGTTTAAAAAAGTTTAATGGAGCCTGTCAGGCTTATAAATTGTGATCTGGCAGACATTAAGACCTGCTTTCTCTTACCAAAGAAAATGGCACAAGTTTATCAAAATTTGACAATTTAGTGTAAAGGGTACTAGGACTAAGGTTCAGAGCACCAACTTAAAACAAAAAAAAATTGTTATTTCAACTTGGAAAAGAGGAGCTAGAACAAAATTACATTAGGGATGGATTAAATCAATGTGTTCCACTACCTCAAGCTCCCTTAGGCAAAGGAGTGCCATCCACTCTTAGCATCACATCAACACACCTCAATTTCAGCATTCAATTTACAAGCAATAGAAAAACAAAGATGATCTTAGATGCATTTCTTGGTGAATTCTTATTAAGTGGAAGGCTGGGAAAAGTGTTCATAATACATAGGCATTTTCCGTTTCAGGTTAAATATGACAGAGCACTATAATTCCACCTACGGCTGTATTCCTTACAAGAGGCTGTGTGAGAGAGAACGTGTATGTACCTGTAGAGAGGGGGTGAAGGGGTATGTGGGTGTATGTGTGTGTGTTCTCTGCAAAAATGGATGATTTTTTAAAATCATACCTAAATTTTTGTCTTAGAATGGATTTTCATTTCAAGTTCAAGTATGAAAAATAAGGTCAAAAAACGAGTCCAGAATTTCAATTCATTCCAAACTTTCAAAATTCCATTCACATCCTACCAGGCCAATGAGTATTATGGTCACCTTTAGCGCCTAATTTTATTTAAGTCTTCACAAGACTATAAAGTGGTTCAATAAACTGCAAACTCTAAGTGCTATAATTAATTATTGGAAAATCCCTACACTGATTTGCAATGAATGGTCTTGACATAAAAACGGAAATAACTGATAATGGGCAAAGAAACACTCTTATCTTTGTCCTAAGTGATGTAAGAATGCCATTTAGTAAGTTACAGTGACTGGCAGGCTTACATTAAGTTCTTCATCTAATGAACACTACATTTGTTCAAGGTATTAGAAGATGAAGAGAAAACATGCTTCACAACATTTTAGCTATAAGAGGTCTTACATTTGTCCAGGAGTCTATTTGAAAGAACTTTTGTTTAGGTCTACCTAACAATTATAGAACCTGCATGAGATTCCATCTTTTTAAGAATGATATTCCAATTGGTTTCCCCTCCCACCCCCCTTTTTATTTAAACAGTGATCATATCTTGTTCATTAGCAGGCAAAATACATACCTTTACCCTCCACCCAGCCCAAAGTTAACACCTGCCACAAACATGGGCATTCGTGAGAAATGCAAAACTGGATATATAGTTGCATACGATACCTACCCCTTCACTAATACTGAACCCAAAAGGAGGCCTATTCTCAAATTTTACGACCTCTCTAAATTTAGGTCACTCAGAATGTAGTCTGCAGTGCTTACACTTACCACAAGGACAGTACCGGCATGTAAATAAGTACATTATATCATTTCAAAACTGAAAATTTTAAAGTCTATGAGGTTAATTGGGGAAAAGTTTAATATTGCTACTTTTAGAGCACTAAAACACACAAAGTGAATCCAATAAAGATCCTTGTATTGATTCAATATTAAGTATTAATTGCATGACCATCATAGCACCTCTTTACATTATCACACAATCACCAGAATTATCAACTGCTTTTAAAACTAAAAAGGGCACAGTCCAATATTTATAACTTGCACACTGTTACTATATAGAAACTAGGTGCATGGTACAGTGCTGCGAAAATGGAAGCCTGCAGATTTGACAAAGATGCCAAGTCATGTTTTAGACAATTTCAGTCAACTGGCAAATACTGTTGAAGCAAAATACTCAACACAGCAGGAAATAAAGGACAAAAAAGCATTCTATAACCAAATAAACATCTGATATTTCCTTTCCCTTTAAGAATACAAGTAAGGTCACTTTTAGCCTTGGAACGGATACATGTTTGCCTATGATGATCTTGCTAACTACTACACAATATCTGATGTCCTCTGCTAGGATTATAGTTTAAGAAAGCCATAGTTACAAGAGGCATCTACTGTAATACCTAAAACTTCCTTTATGGCAATCATTATTGAATTCACTTGTCTTAAAACAGTGAACAAGGGAAGATGGCCTCATGTTTCCTTTTCAATAGTATGTTGAGGATCAAGTGGCTTTCAAGCAGCATGGTGGGTTTGAAAATTTTGCAGTTTAGATCATTCTGTTGCGTTTATGAGTTGGTGAGTCTGTAATGACATCGCCACATTGGGCTGAGGTACGCTTTCTAGTTCCACCATTGTCCAAGTGGAGTGCCATTTCTTCTGATATGAAAGTGTTCAAATCCACATCATGGAGTCCATTTCTCCTTCGACTAGCATTCGATCCACTGCTTACATGAGTAGGAGAGCCTGGAGTACTTGAACGAACGCTTATACTAGCCATTGCGCCACTAAGACCTAAGAAGAGAAAAAAAAAGTTTTAAAAATTGTACAGTAATGTTATAAAACATAGCACTTAAATTTTGCATTCTATCACACTATAAAGCAATTATTGCTGCCTGCATTTTGTAAAAGGGTCAACCATGGAGAAAGAGTTGACAGTACCGGCCTATAAAAAAACTCATTTTAGGGCATGAATATGTAGTATTACTATTACGCCATAACACATAATTCTTTTGATATGTATTCTCATTTTAACCAGGTCTGGGCTAGCTGATTCCAAATCTTCACTTCCCCAGACTATTTTTAGATTTAACACACCTCTAAGGCCCAACCCAACAACTGTGGGGACTCCTAAGACAAAAAACATCATCCAACTAATCTGGCTTCACTGGGTTTTTCCCCACAATCACACCCTGACTTTGATTAAAAAGCCTTTCTGGATTTTGGTTTAAAGTTCTAGAAAATTCAGTTAATAGGACTAAAGTCCTGCCACTATACTTTCCGATGTAAAAGGTAAAAAGATGTGATTATGGCATCTAATGCCATGTTTGGGGAACTATGTCTACTGGGCTCTCTACATGAAGTCAGACCTCACTCCTGAGCAACCAACGTAACTTTAAGCCTTCAAAATATGCTTGGGCCAAACTTGGAAACCTGCATCACATGCATGTCTATATTCAAGGAAAAATTGTTACAGAAAATTACAACATCATAGTCAGTGGATTTAAATATTAAATTACGTTTTAACCTGAAATTATGGTCCCCCTTTTCATGGTCAATTAAATTTGTCATAATACAACCCTAGGTAATCAACATTTCAAAGACCAACAAGCTCAGAAATAGTTTTACATTTTTGTATTCATAAAAATTTCATTGAAAACGCCACATTCAAATGCAGCATATTCATTAAGCACCTACTATGTACAAAGATACTACTATAGGTGCAAAAGATACAAAAAATGAAAAAAACAACACAGCCATTGAGAATTTTACAATCTAATTAGGGATGAAGAATGGAACTAAGACAATAACCTAAACAAAGTATTAAAGTAATGAGAAAAGATCATTTTCAGTTTTGAGGAAGAATAAACAGAAAGGTCAAGGAAGGTTTCATGGAAAAAGTGGCACTTGAGCTGGACACTGAATAAAAATAACTTTGATGGACAAGATTTAATGAGAGTGGCTAGAGGAAATAGGAAATAATCACTGAGGTAGGAATGGACAAAATGAGCTCGAGATCACATACTGTTCTAGGTTGACCAGAATATGTGTTAAGAGAAATAATACAGAACAAAATTGAAAAAGTATACTGGAATCAGGTTACAGAGTACTTTGAATAGTCAGCTAAAGAAACAGTGTGTTTATATTATCTTTTCTAAGATAAGCAAATGGAAGGCTTCTGAGCAGGCTAATGATATGGTCAGATCTGTATAACAGAAATATTTTTCTGGCAGCCATGAAGGATACACTGTATAAAGAAAAGACTAAAGGCAAAAGAAAAGCCTAAACTGGGATAAGGAGAGTGAATACAGAAAAATACAAAAGATACCGTGGGGCATCTTGTTGATTCTACAGGACCTGGCAAATACTTGCATGGGGTGAGTGGAAAATTTCAGCCCCTAACACAAAGGTTCTACATCTGAGTGATTATGCAGAATGGTCATGCAACCAGGGAAGTTTTGTGAGGAAAAGGAGACTTGCAGTCTGAGGGAAATGAGTTCAGTTTTAAAACATGCTAAGTTGAAGGGTATCAATATAATACCCTGGTAGAGGTAAGGCAGTAAGAAATATAGGACTGGAGCTCAGTATACTGTTTGGTTTTAGCTATTATGTAGATTTGGGAATTCATGGCTGGGATGATAATTAAAGCCACAGAAATGAATGAAATCCCCAAGACAAAAGAACATAAATTACAACAGTTAAGTAAGCACAGTTACAGGTGAAAGAATTGGTACAGGGTACAAAAAGTTTTTTGTTTTGGTTTGATTTTTTGCTTTTTGGTGAAGTAGTCAGGGTTAACTGACTTGTCCAGGGTCACACAGCTAATAAGTGTCAAGTGTCTAAGGCAGCATTTGAACTAAGGTCCTCCTGACTCCAAGGCCAGAGTTCTATCTACTGCGCCACCTAGCTGCCCCCAGGGTACAAAAAGTTTTATGAACTGTCTTTTTTAATGCTAGGTGGCTTAGTTTTGTCTGTTTTTAGTGTTAGATGGGAGGGTGCATAGGAGAGAGGGAAGATAAAAAAAAAAGGCAAATCCAGAAGTGAGTGATGTAAATACAAGAAGGTAACGACAAAACTTATTTTTTAATGATTCTGGTAGAGAGGGAACCATTAAAAAAGAGGAGGGAATGATGGATAAAAAAGATCTCAGAAGGAAGAAGAGGACATAGAGCACAAAAGGGGTTAGTTAGCCTTGGCAAGGACAGCTACCCAATTCTTCTAGAATAGAAAAGGAACACTTGAAGATAGGTTTTGAGATATGAAGTAAGGAATATGAGGGAGCTGGACAGCGGTAGGGACAGTAGGAATTGATACAGTTAAGAGACCTTAAAGAACTAACCCCTTTATAAATTAAAAAACTGATAGGTTAAGTGTCCAATGTTACAATTATAAAGTAGCAGGACCAGGACTCAGTCTTCTCATTGAATTCCAGTGCTTTTTCTTTTTACTAAGCTGTGGAAAGAATAAATGTGCATCAATGAAAGATATAAGCATTAGCAATTCAGGAATATGGGAGGCAGGGGGTCCTGAAAAGTAGAGGACAGAGAATTGCTGAAATGAATACCTACAAGATCAAGACTGAAGAGAGAAGTAAAACTAAAACAGTAGAGACTAACATGAAAAACAGGGAAGGAAGGATCAAGAGTTTAATGTAAAAGGTTGAGAAGAAGTAAGTTCCTATGAGAAAGGAAGGACAGAAAATTTGGAAGGGCACTTCAGAGTCAAGGATCTTGGTGCATAATAGCTTCAGGTGATATGTCTAAGCTGTGGGACCACAAAGTTCATGGGAGTGGCAAAGTATGGCCAGGATAGGAAAGAAATCAAAGCAAATGAAAAAGGCCTCAACTAGCATTTTTAAAAGGAAATAAAAAGCACAAACCAGGGATGAAGATCAGTCAAGAGTGTGGGACAGATCAATAGATGGCAACAAGGCTCAAGACAGAATAAAAGCATGGTGCCACGATCAGTAAAATGTGAAGCTGTTAAATGAAGGCTGATGGAGCAAGGGTATATAGAATAAACAGGGAGAAAAGAGTACACAAACTCCTCATAAGTCCACAAATGCAGAGTTGGAAGGGTCCCAAGACAGCATCTAGTCCCATCCCTTCATTTTTCAGATGCGGAAATTGAGGCTTTTAGTGGTTAATAAGTGGCTTGCCCATGGTCACACAACTAGTAAGCATCACACTTGAACCCAAGTATTTTTTACACTTCAGCATGCTATCAACATTATTCATCTCTTGTTGTTCCTATAAAAGAAAGGTCATGAGAAGAAGTGGCCAGCCCTGAAGAAAGTCTTCAGAAAGTGACTACTTACCTCCTGAAGGTGGAGAAGGTTTTTGTTAAACTTCAGCAATTTAATGTGAATAATTTTAACTGTGCAAAATAGATAGGACTTTTGAACTTAAAAAAAAAAGAAAAAAAACCAGGAAAACAAAATGAAAGAAATCCAAGGTGATGGAAATTTTAAGAATAAAGATGCACTGCTAACTAACAGTCATAACAAACTATTACTACTACCTACTCCATGTCTAAATTTTGCTTGGTCTTTCAAGGCCTTTCATATACTCTGGTCCCACTATGTCTAACCTTATCTAATTCCACTTCTGTCCAACAAACACCTAACCTCCCACTGTCTCCCATCCCACAACACATATACCATCCTCATTCCCCACCTCCTTGTTTTATGTTTTAAGCTATTTCCCTTCCTGAAATAACTCTTCTTCCCTATCTTGCACCTAAAATCCTACCAGCTTTTCTCCTGAAGACCCAGATGAAATTCCAGGTAACTTCTATCCCAGATTTAACTCCTCCCCTTTCTCTGCAATCCTATCCAACTGTCAAGGACCATATGGTTCAGAATTTAATTACTGTTTCTTAACTGGTTTGAGGATCTCCGCTGTCCCCAACTATGTTACATTCCTCAAGGGAAAGAATCATGTCTCACATCTTATATCTACCCCCTGACCCCCAGAATCTAGCTAAAAAAGAGCACTTATATGCTTATTAACAAACTGAAATAACTTTCCTAACTTTTTGCACAAAACAAGTTACTCAATTTCAAGTAAATAATAATGGTATAATAATAGGCATTTTTCATAGCACTCCGAGGTTTGTAAAAGACTTGACAAATCTTATCCCATTTGGTTACAAATATTTCATCTTCACAACCCTAGAATGTAGGTACTATCATACTCATTTTTAAATGAAGAAAGCTGACGCAGACAGTTTAAGTGATTTGTTCAGGGCCACAAAGTTATTTTGTAAACTATATTCAGAAATAAACATGAACATCACATATTGGAATACACACTGTATGGGAATTCAGTTACTTTGGACTTATTAATCACAAAATAAAGACCTCATGCCCAGGTCCCAACTTCCTCTCACCTCCCACCCCCCTTTACAACTAAAGGAGAGCAATTTGGGCAGTATTTGTACCTAGACACAACACCAACTGCCCTTAATTAGCTCTATATAATGTTATAAAACTTCCTTCCTATGCAAATTTGGCCACAGCACATTTTTATGTTTAAAATATACTGATGAAACCCATACTGCCAAGGAGGTAGGTTTGCATACACAGAATACCCTCAAAGACAAATCAAATGAGAGGACAGAGAAGCAGTTTGTGACACATAAGAAATCAAGCATACTATCATACTGAAAAAAATTTCAGCCAAGCAAAACTTTTGATGCCTACATAATGTTATATTTAATAAAGCTAAAAAAAAATTAGCATTTTAAGTTTCCCATGTAATAACTATTCACATGTGCAGTTTGGGAAATATTAT